GCCAGTTTTTGAGGTTTGCTTGGGAGGAAGCTGATGGCAGGTTTGACTTCCTAGCGTTTGCCAGCATCGATTTGTCAACAAAGCCAATTAAAAAATTGAAGATTTGGTTACAAGCACGATAACAATGCCATTTCCCGTTTCGCCATGCCCGCAATTGTTAAAAATTTAAACTGTATAAAATCAGACTTGCCAATGGATTTCAAAATAATTTCGAAATAATTATGCCTCAAATCCTCTAGGGAGTCAAACCTGCCGTCAGCGTCTTAATTGTGCCTCAGTTATTCAAAATAATTTCAAAATAACTGTGCCTCAGTTCGATTTCAAAATAATTGTGCCTCAAATCCTTTTAGGTCGATGAGGCTCTCCATAATTAGGATATACCTCACACATACTTGTACAAATCGTTCATGAGATTCGTTTATTTGAGGGAAAAGTTTGACACAGTTTAAAAAAATTCATCGAAGTGATGCGAATTGGAAAATGCTTCATCTAATACTAATATCATTTATACTCTCACAGTTGGCGCTATACTTCACTATGATGTTGGAGTGGGAACATTCGAGAAAAGATGGCGGGTGTTTTGCACACTCTAAAGGCATCGCGTAAATGCTAAAGCCAAGAGAACCGTTTTAAAATGCCAAGAGAACCATTTAGCTGTAACCTCTTTAAGAGAGAAAACAAATGCTAAAATCGCCAGCAACTGGCTGACCATCATGCAGTGCAACACTGATCAAAGCACTGAAAAAATTGTCAGCTGCATTGGAGGGGAGGGGGAGAGGAGTGAGGGAAATCGTATTATGGATTACAGCAGATATAAATATTCCAAGCAAAAGTGTCGCCAGAACATGTTCGAAATTCATACGAATTGAGTACTAATGATATAAATTTTGGCTGCTGAAGTCCCGAATTATGTCAACTGATGTAGGGATCAAAATTAGCTAGCAGGAAACTCAAAACGAAGCAAAACTTCGTAAATGCGACCCAATTTTCCTTGTACGGCACCTTTCCCTGTTCTCCTTTCTTCTCACTTTCCTTCCATTCTTTTCTTTCTTTTTTCTCACCGACTTTTTTCCATACTAGCTCCTGTTACGTGGCCGATTGGAGGTCTATACTGATGAACCTAAGTCTTCAGCGTTCTGCCTGTGTTTACAGCTCATTTTACTATGTTACCATATCCGGGGGGTTTTCGCTGACCTCTGATCTCCTTTTCTTCTTTTGTGCTTTAAATTAGCAGTCAGGATCATCTACTTGTACCAGCTGCGACATCCAAATGTACCACCAGAAGAAAAAATGATTTGCATATTTGCTTTTACGATTAAACTTGTACAGCAAAAAAAAAAAAAACGCACGCAGTTGATGGCAATATTGTAAATTTTCTGATGGTAACATAATGTGAGTGTAAGGCAGTTGCGCTGGTTCACGCGAATCAGAAAAGACCTGTAATTTGAAATAAAAATAAAACATCGCAGTAAAAAATTATCAAATGAACAAAAGTCAAAATTGAAAGTCGAAAATCCCATCGTAAGCCAGTTGTCGTAGGAAACGAAGATACTTGAAAATTGCCCGAGTGGAGGCGCAGTAAAACATCATGCGTTGGCAAGGCTGTCGACAGCTCTCTCCTTCTAATGTTACTTAGAAGCAGGCTGATGGCAAAACGGATTTTCTGGCGCTTGTTAGTAAAATTTGCCGTCGAAACAAAAGGGCGAATTGTAGAGAATCTGGTTGTCCCGCTGACAGAGTGATAGTAATGTTACTTTTCACTATGCCATGACCGGTTTAAGTCTTCAGTCCTGTGATTATGCAGATGAGTGATGTGCTGGGCTTATCTGCCACAAGCCAAAACCCTCTCCGTATTAGTTGTGTAAGGGACTGAAGACCTTACAGAAAATTGAAATTAGTCATACGCTCTGCTAGTCACTTTTATATAATGCTGGAAATTTTGGGAAAATAAATGATTAGGCAGTACTAAACAAGTTATTAGATGGATAAAATCAAAATGACCGCAAATGAATCAAGTTTAACCTCAAAAGGATTCATGAAAAGCCTGGATAGCAAGACAATTTTGGTCACTGCCATAGCAGAAGTGGGAGAAAGCTTTTAGCGATGTGCAAACGAACTGCTGACCCATCTTTTCCTCCTGTTCCGAGAAGCATTCGCTCGGCTTTCTTTTGATCGGCATTCTGGTGAAACCATCGCTCGGCTCGATAAATTGCACAGGGTGCAAGACCATAAATCTTGGACTGATCCTGATAAACTGCTCGAGATTCTCCGCATAACAATATCTCTCTGAAGCAAGAGTTTATAAGAATAATCGCTGTGACGTTCACGGCAATTAGTTATACCCACACAGTGGAAGGAAGTGAGAGGAATAAGATGAAAGGATTTTGCGGATATTATCCAAGAGGCAGAAGAAACAGCTTATTGTGCGCAAAATTTAGCGGAACTAACACAAGTGTAATCAAAAAAGTATAACCTCAGTTGGGAGCACTAATAAAATGAGCCAAGGGATTGCTGGTCGGTTAAAGTAATATAGTTCTTTTTGCTACTAATTTTTTTTAAAAAATTGATTAGATGATAATGATGGATTTAAATCGTTTTACTTTCACTGAATGTTAATTTGGAAACGCGAAGATC